AGGTATCTTTAACATGTACAGTCTGTAGCACACAGGGCCTCTGTTTATTGTCCCATCCGAACAACTAGACTCATATTCTCGTATTCATACGCTGCATCTGACGTTGTCATAGGAGATGACATCATTACATCATTACATCATCAGTGATCACTAAGGAAATTTGTAGTTTATCGGTAAATGAATGCAAATTTTTCGCATGGGTTCACTGTAGATTGTGAGAAGAAAATGTAAATATAGGCTAACAAAGACGGGCAACGCCATGCAGTGTACAATGAGGGAAAATTAGAAAAACAAGGAAGACGTTTGTTGACATGTTGAAATTTGTAATTTCACTATTTGACACTTTCTCTATTATTAGTTTCCAAAAGAAAACCCAATTTCAATTACTTTACTTTCAACTCATCAATATTTCACGAGTCCTTGCTGAGTTTTAATTTAAAACTAGACAGAGAGATATTCTTATTTCACTTTCTCGCTTTCCAGTCAGTTTTAGTTTAATCCTTTCAACACGGAGTGTAAAAATATTAAAAACATCATATACCCTGAACTCCAAGTATTATAACTTAAAGGGCCATTCTTTTTGACCAATCATACTTTAGTCTCAGAAACAGGAATTTTTTAGCTAAGCTAATCAGTAATAGTGTTCACAGCTCACTGTCGAAATTTGAGCCTTCAAATCCATGTGTGTCTAGAATTATCCACGTTTGAAAGTTAAAATGACGACTCGTCAATTTAAGATACTCTGTGATATATAGAAAAAATATCTATAGAAATAGTGAGTAAGATTCCTAGTTTGAGATATTTTTAAAGGAATTATACAATTTTCGTACATTTCTAGTATTTCTGAAGACTATTTACATATATTCAAAACTCAAATCAACCAAGCCAAGGACCATGTATAGTGTATTGTTGTATTTTTAAAGGAATTATACAATTTTCGTACATTTCTAGTATTTCTGAAGACTATTTACATATATTCAAGACTCAAATCAACCAAGCCAAGGACCATGTATAGTGTATCGTTGTATTTTTGAAGGAATTATGTGATTTTCGTACATTTCTAGTATTTCTGAAGACTATTTACATATATTCAAGACTCAAATCAACCAAGCCAAGGACCATGTATAGTGTATCGTTGTATTTTTAAAGGAATTATGTGATTTTCGTACATTTCTAGTATTTCTGAAGACCATTTACATATATTCAAGACTCAAATCAACCAAGCCAAGGACCATGTATAGTGTATTGTTGTATTTTTAAAGGAATTATGTGATTTTGGTACATTTCTAGTATTTCTGAAGACTATTTACATATATTCAAGACTCAAATCAACCAAGCCAAGGACCATGTATAGTGTATTGTTGTATTTTTAAAGGAATTATGTGATTTTCGTACATTTCTAGTACTTCTGAAGACTATTTACATATATTCAAGACTCAAATCAACCCAAAATGTTGAACCTGTCGAATTTTAACGATTGCAAGGTGACTTAAATGGTCTTTACAATAGTGACATCACAAATTGCGTTGAAATTTGCAAGAACTACAGAAGTTTTTGAAAGAAAATTGGAATATTACAAAAAGAAAATATTTGTCACTAAAAACACAAAACTGTTTTCATTTTACAAATATATAATTAAATAATTTTATCACCATGGCAACAGTTTTTGTTGTCACAGGTGTGGAAAAGTAGGATATAAAACTTTATTTCATTTCACAGTTTTTTTTAGGCTTGCCTGTGAATTGACAAATTTTCAGTTAAATCCAAATTCCAATTTTTTTTTTTATAGATTTGAAAAAAATTTGCCAGTTATTATTTTTTTTGCAATTTTATTTTTTTTTTGTTTTTTCGTATTATAAAATCTGTTTTATTCTAGAATATTTTAAAAAGAAAATTAATGTAATTGAATTAGGTCATTGAACTGAGCTGTTTCGAAGATTTAAATGTTTAGTTTAGCTGCGTGCACTCTCCAAAAGGGATGCTGAGTTGACAGTCTCAATTGCAGAGTGGTCTCAAGTGTTCATATCTAGCTTGTGATGTCTTGAAAAAGCGTCTAGTCATTCAGATGAGACAATAAACCCGAGGCCTCGTGTGCTACAGGCTGTACACATTAAAGATCTCTTGACAGTTGAAAATCAAAAAAGCGTCTAGTCGTCCTGATTGCACAATAAACCGAGTCCCTGTGTGCTACAGGCTGTGTACGTTAAAGATCCCTCAATAGTTGGAAATAAAAAAAGAGCAGGCTAATGCAGCTGTCCTGACAAAATTTCCCTCATTGCGCACTTCATGGCATTGCCTGTCTTCCTTAGTCCAACCAGATCCCTCTACAGTCAGAACTTGTAATAGAACAGGCTAATCCTGACAAAATTTCCCTCATTGTACACTGCATGGTGTTGCCTGTCTTCATCAGCCCAATCAGGTACAGAAATAGTAGGATGAAAACCAAATTCAAAAGTTTCCCTCATTGTACACAGTTGTTTTTTTTTTCAGTTGAAGACCAAAGGAGGAGAAAACGCCAAAAGTCATTTGAAGAGCAGTAATTTGAGTCACTACGCAGGTGTGATCCACGCTGTCCAATATTTACCAGACGTCATCCAAGTTCTACAGCCGTTTACGTCACCTAATAAATCTTACAGTTTATTGGTTGATGTTGTAGCAGGTCAAGGTCATATGTGGGTCAAAGTCGTTGCTAGGAAGGCTCAAGCCTTACATCTGGTATGGGCAGGTTTGTAACTTTTAGTCGCATTACTTGTAGACCCCCACCATCCCCCCACTCGCAACTCCCACCCTCATTTCTTATAGTTTACATTGGGGGTGGGAGCCGACACTGGACTGACTCTCGAAAGCAATGGCACAGGCATCAGAATTGTTCTTACCTTGAGGAGGATAAGGGTGAGGTATTAGGGGTGAGAGCTAACACTGGACTGACTCTCGGAAGCACTGGCACATGCATCAGCATTGTTCTTACCTTGAGAAGGATAAGGGTTTGGTATTAGGGGGTGAGAGCTAACACTGGACCAACTCTCGGAAGCACTGGCTCAGGCATCAGAATTGTTCCTACCTTGAGGAGGATAAGGGTGAGGTATTAGGGGGGTGAGAGCTAACACTGGACTGACTCTCGAAAGCACTGGCACAGGCATCAGAATTGTTCTTACCTTGAGGAGGATAAGGGTTAGGTATCAGGGGTGAGAGCCCACACTGGACTGACTCTTGAAAGCACTGGC